GTAACGAAATAATCTACAACTTCCATAAAAATATTTCAGAAAAGATCTCTCTAAAAAAAATTGGTCTTACGCATCCGTAACTTAAATGTTAACGCTTTGACCCGTTTTCTTCAGTTTTCTCGCTTTAGCTCCATTTGACATGAAACTTTCTAAATCCTCTCATATACTCCTAAGAAGTATAACCATAAATTTTCAAACCCAAACTCCCACTAAATCATCGGTTCTCTTATATGGCCACTACTACTACACTTAGTAAAATTTCAACATGCTCAACATTTTCTCCTATGTAAGCACATAATATCCTATTTACATATAATTAAGCACACTTAGAAAATAATTTGGGTATATTGGAAATGAGATGTTACAAATACCTCCTCCTTTTGAGGATTTCGTCCCCGAATCATTAATGTGAAAACAAATAAGGGTATTTTGCCTTCATCTCATCTTTACGCTCCCACGTCCAATTTGGTCCCCTATGGTGTTTCCACTTGACCAACACCAAGTCCACCTCTTTATTACGTAGGTTCACCTTTCTCTCRTTTAGAATGGATTCTAGTTCCTCAATATATTTTAATTTCTCATYTACTTTGACTTCTGATAAGGGCACCATCTCTTCATGTTTACCCAAGYATTTACGTAAGTACCCGACATGAAACACATCATGTATCCCCGTTAGTTCCTCTGGTAATTCTAGTCGATAAGCCTGTTTCCCAATACGCTCCAATATTTTGAACGGGCCGATAAATCGTGGACTTAATTTTTCTTGTTTCTGGAATCGAAGCACTCCTCGCCAAGGAGAAACTTTCAGCATTACCATATCACCAACCGAGAACTCGATTAGCCTTTTGCGGCGATCCGTATAAGACTTTTGATGATCTTGGGCAGCTTTCATTCTTTCACGAATAATCTGAATCTTGTCATAGGTGATCTGAATGAGCTCGGGACCAGCTAGAATTTTCTCTCCCGTTTCTCGCCAACACAAGGGTGTATGACACTTACGTCCATATAAAGCCTCGTAGGGAGCCATTTAAATGGTCGAGTGGTAGCTATTGTTGTAAGAAAACTCAACCAAGGGTAAGTGAGCATCCCAACTACCACCAAATTCTAAGACACATGCACGTAGCATATCCTCAAGGGTCTGAATGGTTCGTTCTGATTGGCCATCA